CAGATTCAGTCTTCCCAGCCTGGTGCAGGTCTACAATTTTGTTTCTGGTGTCCTTTGACAGCTCTTTGGTCTTGGCCATGGTGGAGTTTGGAGTGTGACTGTTTGAGGTTGTGGACAGGTGTCTTTTATACTGATAAAGAGTTCAAACAGATGCCATTAATACAGGTAACGAGTGGAGGACAGAGGAGCCTCTTAAAGAAGAAGTTACAGGTCTGTGAGAGCCAGAAATCTTGCTTGTTTGTAGGTGACCAAATACTTATTTTACCGAGGAATTTACCAATTAATTCTTTAAAAATCCTACAATGTGATTTTCTGGATTTTTTTTTCTCATTTTGTCTCTCATAGTTGAGGTATACCTATGATGAAAATTACAGGCCTCTCTCATCTTTTTAAGTGGGAGAACTTGCACAATTGGTGGCTGACTAAATACTTTTTTGCCCCACTGTATACTGTGTGAGAGCAATATTAAGTCTGATATTATAAAAACATTTTTTTTTAAATTAAACATTTGACTTTTATATTGTTTTATTTAAAACTGGATTTTATATTGGCTAATTATTAAATTATCTGGAAAATATTTACTTTCCATTAAGTAATTTTGTTTATTAAATAATATAGTATTAAATAGTATTTAGTATTTTTATTATTATATTTTTCTTTTAAATCATAGCAGGTTTGTTATTTATTAAGTAATGATAAAAAAAAAAGCTGTCTTTAGAAATTAGAATTAAACAATATCAAATTTGGCAGATAAAGTAAAAAATTATTGTGTTAAACATATAATATGTCCATATGTCCATTTGATATCCCTAAAAATACATTATGTAAAAAATTTTTACTTGCTCTTATATTCCCACAAATGTTACAGCACCCCTAGTTTGAAAACCCCTGCCCAACACACAGGCATTATATTAATAATTATTTTAAAGCATATTAATTCACTGTTAATATTTCAGCTGGCAAAATTTTTCCCAGTGGTTCCTTTATACTTTCAGCACAACAGCACTTCAAACACTGCTTATGTTCATGTGACTTGTCATATATTCACATTAGCCACGTTTACTTCTTGACTAACCTAAAAATTGTAAGAACATTTTTCAAAAAGTATTTTAATTGCATTTTACAAGAAAATACTTTTTCAGTCTTTTGACTTCAAATTTTCACTTTTAATTTAATGTGCTATTGCCATTTCTTTGTAATTATTTGTGAAATGTACAATCAGTTTCTGAGTGAAAATTGTTCCCTATGCCATTTTTTTTATTTCAGTGTACTAGAATTCAATGCTACACCTCTGTTTGAACTATGTTAAACCTACTCACTGGAGCACAGAATGCCAGTGTCATTTAATGATAACGTTATAGAGGAATTGAAATAGAAGATTTCTCTTTCTGTTAGAGAGAGTGCCTTTGTCTCTTTTCATTTGTACCCTCCTTTCAGAATGATCAAGAGCAGACAAGACCGAGTCAGACGTAAGACAACAATTTTATCACTGGTATGTGGGCACAGACCGTCAGGGCTTTACCAGACAGGCTTTATTAAGAGAATTTAAGGTGCTATAAAGTGCCAGAATGCAGCAAGAGGAAATAATGAAAATGTAGTTTTTATAAACGCTAGAGGTGAGACGCTGAATATTCCAGTATTTGGAGTTTATTTATGTGAAGGACAAGAGCGATCCCTAAAGGAAAGGCCTATGAGGGAGACTTTTGGTTTCCATGGAAACTGGCTAAGACAGCCCTAAAGAAAAGCAATGGTGAATCATCAGGTGGGTCCTTCCTGATCCAGATGTCTACAGACGCGCACAGACACACTTCTGTACTTCATTTCAAAACAGTAAACATCAATGACGGATTTCAGTCAACTTGTTAGTATGTCCGGATCATTTCATCATACAGAGCTCATCTTCTAAAAACAGCACAAAAAGATTTTTAAAAAAGGCTGAAACCCTCATCCCAGGCCTCAGGTCAACCTTTTGAACTCTTAAATCACCCAGCTTCATCCCAGCATAACCTTCCTCTAGCTGTGTTGAATGAAGCCGTTACTGCTGCGTTTAAGCACAGAAATGTGACCTTTGAAGCGCAGACTCTCTGCCTCATTAATTCACACAATTGTCCAGACAAATTTGGGAGTCTCCAAACCCAGGGCTGCAATCTCAGCGGGAAAAGCCTGCGACTCACACAATAACTGCCTGCTCTCGCCGCTCTGGCCTGTCTAGACAACTCCACCATGAACCTGGTGTCGTGTCAAACTTTTTAGTGTCTTGCAACATCAAAGTTGCTCAGGAAAAAGAGACTGCAGGTTCCATCTCATCTCATCTCTATTAGGAGTTTTAGTGTTTGATTTATTATTTTTCTAACTCACAAACTACAATTTATCATTTGGTATAAACCTATACTATTTAAGTATCAACTGTAATAGTTCCATTAAAATGTAGATACTCATATTTAATACAAGACGCCTGTGTTGGTATTTGGGGGAAAGAAAAAAAAACACTAATTATACACAATATAATTAATTTATTCAAAATAATAAATCAGCTGTATCTGAAAAGAGAGCACACCTCAAAGTAATCAACTGTTTTGATACTTAATACTATATAGTGTTTGCATTCATATGGTACAAATTACTTTAGCTGTCAGGCATAATAAAGTGTTTAAAGCTAAATTCTAAGCAAAAACTACAGTATAATTATTTGAAATGGGTTAGATCTAAAATATAGTAATCAGCTGAAGAGTCAAAAATAGTTGTGCAAAACAGCCAATTTTTAAATTCAGTCACACACATTTGTATATTATAACTTTTAGTTAAATTGCCCTTGTAAAAAAATGTAAACATGTACAGTAGCAACCAGTGACAGTCTAAATATCTGGCCTTCAAGTTGTCTTTAGACATAGACATACATACATAAATTTAAAAAAATCACATTAAATAATCTTGTTTAACCAACAAAATATAGGTCATTACAGTTGCCCCCGACGGTATCCTTTACTATTATTCATGGTCTTAAAACTGAATATTACAAGGCCAAATAAAAAGTATTTTTATAGTCAGTATATGGTATTCCAATGAAAATGTATGAGATCCAATAAACTATGAATTCCTAATTTGATTCAAGCTCATCTGGCTGAAGTATTGGGACATTAGTTAATATTTCTCCCCCTTGCAGAGGACACTTTTCCTTTATATACTGGTGTATCTGAGACAGAGACTGATGGTAGGCAGAAAAGTCCTTTGGCTTCATTTGCAAGCAGTTTCCTAACGGAAAACTAATCCATATTAAGTAAGAGTTAATCAACACCAAATTGAAATCTGATTCCCATTTAATGCATTGTCAGTCCATATAAATTGTTAAGACTGACAAAAAGTGCTCTGTCAGTAATTGATGGCCATTTTCTGTAGTGACTTGTATTGCAGACAGCATGCACAGCACTGAGGTGAATGTGTGCAGGACATGAGTTCAATTAGCTGCACAATATTGTTGTTTTCATTTACTAACATTTATTCCGTGAGGAGATAAAATTAAAATGTCCATTTATGTGTAAAACTTGTACTTTTGACCTCATTATCTGACACATTAAACCCTTTTCTTACATTTACAACATTTAACTAGAAAGACAATGGCAAGTGGCTTCTCTACTCAGGCAACTTGGTTAATCTGCTTTTAATGGATTTGAGGGATATTGTGTGTGTAACACAGCTGTTACTTAATGATACACACAAGAGGAGACTAATGTTCCTCTGTGGTGTAATCTTTACTGCCACTTTGTCTGTGCTATTATCCTAATGCAGCATTTCAATCACTGCACAGGGTTTCAATGCAAGCTAAACAATCAAGCTCTGTAAAAAAAAAAAAACCCATTTTGCTACAGTCATGTTTGCGAGGCAGTAAAAGGGCCAATGACATCTCAGCTGGGGTGAAATCACCAGGCAACACTGAATATGACTTAAACGGGGTGGCCAAAATAAAGAATGTGATTTATTATTAGAGTTAACTATTTCGGATTGTAAAGTTAGTGTTTAATACATTTTTCCCCCTTCCATATTGACAGTTACTACCCCACATATCCAAATGCCTATCCAAAGACAGATGCTAATTGAATTAGAATCGGACTAAAAAAAGCCCACTTATAACCAAGGCCAGTGCACACCACTCCCTACTTTTTACACCCCAAAACACTGGCAAAAATAAATGGATGCTCTCTGTATTCCTGTTTCTGTTGGCAACAGTTAAACTTGTTGAGGAAACTCTAATGGTATCAGCAGCCAGCTAATTGGAGTGATTAGATCCTCATAATTGCTCTGCAGGGTCACATAATGTCCAAGAAATATAATGCCATTTTACAGGATAAAGCAAACACTGTTCTCTCAATCTACGGTCATACATCGGTACAGGAACAGAGAGGTATCATGGACACCCTAAACACCAGATCTAAACAGATCAGTACATTTCTCCCTTATTCACCAGTCCTTCAACTGGAGGCTTTTTATTTTTATGAATGCCGTAACGTCCCACTATACTCTATTCAGTACTTGTATGGCAGCGATCCAAGAATCACTGAAGCTGTTGAAGGCAAATGGTTGTTCAGCTTGTTATTAAGCCTCAGGTTCAGCACCGCAGGGGGGCCTGGTGTGGGCCTGACCCACCCAATTACAACTGGATCATGGGAATCATGTAACCATGGACACTTAATTAAGAAAACATCTACATTCTCTCTTTTTCCTTATTAAAGTAGGATCTCAGTTCAATCACCTCTGACATTTTAAAAAGCCCTCATTAAACTTATTAAGCTGGTTTGCTTTGCGTGCCACTTTCTCTATTATCCCACCTACAGTATATGTCATAGGAACACTGTTTTCCTTCTCAATATGTAGCAAATGCATCTTTTGGGGTAATCAACCCTTTGCTAAACTCTAACAACCAAGTCATTTCTTTACAATGGATAAGCTATTGTCAGTAGCCTTGACATATAAAAGTGATGAATGTATAGATTCTGATTGGGTACCTGAGTGTTTTGCGAACCATATCTTCATCAGTTATCCCATAATATGTTAGGGTCTCACTCCAGACAGGGTTGAGAGTGTTGCGTAGGGTCTTTGTGCGGAGCTTATTGGCCTGGAAGAAATTACAGATTTGCTTGTAGGTTAGTGGTTGTCTTCACTGGCACTGGTTCACTAAATGAGCACAAGGTAAGAAGAAGCCAGACCTTCCATATTTGAAACTGTTATAAAATGTTATATAATAATAAAATGACATGAATTAGGGTTTTAAATTCTGCATTTAGATAACATGGTTGCAAAATGGCAAACCTAATTTAGAATTAATAGAAAATAAAACCGCTCATATAATATTTAGTTTGACCTTCCAAGGTTGGTGATCACCATTTTATAAAGCTTAAGCACCTTCTTACACCATTTATTGAAGAAAAGTTCATGTAAATGTAGAAAGTGTCTTGCGGTGATTAAAGCAGGTGCAATTAATGCCTAAACAAATGTCTTTGTTTCATCTAGCACATCTGTGAGGTGTTTCCTAATCATAATGGGTTAACTCAGACATCCTATCCCATTCAATTATTTTGTAACCCTGTGAAGGAGAGTTCAGCTGTACTTACTGTAGGACACATGATCCATACAGAAGGAGAATGACTTAGAGGAGTCTTATGTTGTCAGTAGCTAAGTGGATTGTTGGCAGGATGAGCAAGAAGTGTAACGGTTAAAAACAGATGAATTATAATGAGAAGCATGATGATCATTTGTAGAGCACAGAGGTTGTTCAGCGACAAGGAAAATCTGGCCTTTTAGATTTCAAGGTAGCACTGGTCAATTTGATAAATGTAATCTAGACCCATGATGGGACAGATAGAGATGGTATAAATTAGTATTTTTAAGAGTTAACTTGAAGTTGGATACCTCAGACTCAAGGCTCTGAAGTAAAAAAAAAAGATTGTCTTGTTGAGTTGTCTCATGATTTCTGAGCCTGCGTCTGTCTGTCTGTCTGTCTGTCTATCTATCTATATATCTATCTATCTATCTATCAATGCCCAATTGAATATTACAGTTAAATGTGCTATCTGACTGCTATTAACAAAATGCACAAAAAACACAGACACCTCCTACTAGTAACCTTCCATCTGATGTAAAGTTACATCAAAGCTTGGTAGAGCAGGTAGAGCTTGTTCTGAAAACAGAGTACTGAGTCTAGAGATATACAAATCTATTTTAAATAGACAAAATATACTCTATGTACCACAGTTAAAGATTTTGAGAGCCTTTACCAAAAATACAGTTGTTAGAATGAGCAGTTAAATAGTCAGCCTTTATGGATTCTGCACAGTGACAGACAGTACCTTATGTGCAAATTGTGTTTTTAGCATGTTTTAAAGGCTGTATTAATCATTAGAATCTTTATTGTAAGAAATCAATTATCAATGTAACATTACCATAAAGCTGTGGTTCTCAACTGGGAAACAAACAGAAACAATAGAACAGAACAAAATAATATATTTCTTGATTTTCTATTTTATTAATAATAATATGAATATATATTCTTCATAATATATTGATCAGAATCATTTGAAGTTATCCTGTGGAAGGAAGTTTCTTGAGGGCCCCTAATGGGTTGAGAACCACTGGCTTAAAACATATAAATCATATTACTACAAGCCTCCTTGTATTGTATAAAACAATGCATCTCCAAGGGGAGAGCAGGCACATACCTTACTAGCTCCAGGCAGCAGGTGCAGCTTAACATAGGGATCTGACAGCCCATTGTGATCCATTGGTTTGAGTCCCTGAGAGAGAGAGAAAGGAAAAAAAGAAAAAAAGTGTGACTTATGAAAAACAACCACTTTTAGACATCATGTGAAGTCAACAGCACAATGCACCATGTCAGCCTGATAGATTCCACAGGCTTTAGATATCCAATTCATGTCAAGCTCCTGCTTTTTCTAACAAGACGTACTGTTTCAGATCCGGCCAAATAAGCTAATTAGAAACACTGGAGGTGATGTCGTGCCATGACAGCAGAGCACTCTCCTGAAGCTCTTAGCTGTCTATTAACATGCATTTTAGTATGGGCAAAAAGCTCAAGCACTTTGGGCATAAAAAGCCCAATCATTGCACGGACATGGCAGAAATATCAGATGTGCAATCATCCAAAAATGAATTGAGCAATTGTGTTGTTGGTGCCAAAAATATTAATGGATGCTGTGTTTTTATATAATGTTCAGGTTTGTCTGATGCATGTTTTGGAAATTTTCTTTATAATCAGAGTCAACCGGATTCATTATTAAGTATATTTTTTAGCTATTTGAACAGCCTTGGGGTCTCTGAGACCCCACACAGAACTAGAGGGTTATGAATTAACTACAAGCTGCACAGGATTTCGAGTAAATATCAATACAAAGCTAGACAACACTGTCTGCTGTCAAAGAGTCTGTAAGGCAAACATTTATTTTATTGAAAACCTCTGCACCACCTGACACCCATCATCTCTTAATTACAGTCTTTGTGGTGGGATTCGGTGAGGTAGCATTGAACTTTGGATTCGTAGGGCTGCATAGATCTTGAGGCCCATCAATATCACAGAGGGTATTAATGAATAATGCCATATAAATTGGATCTTTTCAACACTGTTAAGCATTACATTCACAGTCAGAGAATGGCAAAGCTGTCTCTCAGAAACCTCGAGGGGAGTGTTTTTGATTAAGGGAACATGTTCTTCACAAAGTCTGGATTTACCTTTGCAGTCCAAATAATGGTTTTCAGTTTAGCCTTCTGCATAACACAACTTTGCAGCATGATTTGACAAAAGTGTTCCTTATCTTCAGAAAAAAAAACAGTAAAGAGAGCCTTTGCACTAATAAAATCAAGTTTATTCACACGGAGAGCAGCTGCTGAAAGAGCGTCAGGTCTTTCCAGAAATGTCTGGCATGAAATCGTATTTCTTTGAATGTTCAGCAGGAACCAAGTTAATGAAAGAAAAGATACTTAAAGGACAAACAATTTTATATTTCTTATTAATGTAGTTAGTATTTTTGTAGTTAGTATGTTAATATTCAATTCCTGTTTAAGAAAAGGAAATAAGAAAATAAAAACTTAAAGCAGCAGTTCTCAGCTGGTCTCCTGGCCTCCAGCATTTATTGATATTTTTATGCCTGTGTATTGAACGCATCATGGAAACCTGTGCTGCAGATTCAATTCAACCAGTTCAACAAAGAGCACAAAAAATATGGAACATAACATTTAATTAATCTCATTTGCTAATGTTAAATTTGACAGCAGCACTAATTAATCTACAGTGTATCCCCCATTGTTTTCTTTTACAACATTAAAACAGTATTCACACCGTATTTAGTAAATGCAACTTTAGAAATAATTCCAGAGCCTGTATGTCATACAGCTCTTAATAGCTTTGTACATCTGGCCACTGCAATTCTCCCTCATTCATACTCCACTTTGCAGAGTTGCTCAAACTCAGTTGGATTGACATGTGAACACAACCACTCCAGGACATAAATGTTGTTTTTCTGTTATTGCTGTGTATCTGTGGCTTTACACTTGTCATTGTTCTGCTGGAAAACAAATCTTCTGCCAAGCCAGAGGTATCTTGCAGTCTTCATCAGGTTTTCCTCTAGGATTTGCCTGTATTGTAGGGCTGCACGATAAATATCACACAATATTTAATGCGCGTCTGGTCAGTAAAGCCGGTTCTGTAATCAGCGGTAAATCTCTCTGTGGAGCAGCATTAACTACACAGAGCCGTTGTTCACAGACAAGCTGCGCAAAACATGCGCAAAATATGATCGTGGTTTTGTGCAGCTTGTCTGTGAACAACAGCTCTGTGTAGTTAATGCTGCTCCACGTGAAAGCACGCACGTGCAGAGATTTACCGCTGATTACAGAACCGGCTTTACTGACCAGATGCGCATTAAATATCGTGCGATATTTATCGTGCAGCCCTACTGTATTGTACTGCATTTTTTTACCCTCTACCCTCAGAAGCCTGCCAGGCATTCCCACAGCATGATGCTGCCACCACTTCGCTTCACTGTGGGGATGGTGTGTTTCTGATCTGCAGCGTTTGGCTTATGCCAAATATGCAGCTTTTTCTAATGGCCAAACATCTCAATTTTGGTCTCATCAGACCACAGAACCTCCTTCCAACTGGATTCAGAGTCTCTCACGTGCTGTGCTGAGACATTTTTCTTTAATAGTGGATTTATCTTTGACATTCTCCCATTAAGATGTAGCTGTGAAGCCCTGGAGCAACAGTTAAATGTGCAATCTCTCCAATCTCAGCCACTGAAGATTGTCAATCCTTCAGAAGTCCCATTTTGCCTTCTGGTTAGAGGTGGATTTATTCTACCATTATACTTTATTTACTTGCTAAGGGGTCCTGATCACCCTGAATAGTATGGTTTTTTTATTCCTTTTATTCAGCAAGGATGTATTACATTGATCAAAAGTGACAGTAAAGACATTTAAAATGCTACAAAAAGATTTCCATTTCAATTAAATGCTGCTCTTTTGAACTTTCTATTCATCAAAGAATCCTACAAATGTTTTCCACAAAAATATTAAGCAGCCACGGTTTTCAACATTGATAATAATAAGAAATGTTTCTTAAAAGGGATAGTACTCCCAAAAATTAGAAATGTAATTTACTCACCTGTATGAATTTCTTTTGTCTGTTAAACATCATTTTTAATTTTCAATTTTTTTTATTTTAAGAATATGGGTAACCAAACAAGTTGATGGACCCCAATGACTTCCATAGTATTGATTTCCATACTATGAGTCAAAGGGGTCCATCAACTGTTTGGTTACCCATGTTCTACCCGACAGAAGAAAGAAATTCAAACAGGATTGGAATTTCAGGGTGAGTAACAGATGAAAAATTTCATTTTTGGTTGAACTATCCCTTTAAGCACCGAATCAGCATATTAGAATGATATCTGAAGGATTAAGTGACACTGAAGACTGGAGTAATGGAGCTTTGCCATCACAGTAATAAATAAGATTTTACAATATATTAACATAAAAATGGTTATTTTAAAATATCACTTTAAATTAAATATATAAACTAATGCTTTATTTTTTGTTTTTACTGTATTGTATGATCAAATGAATGTAGCCTTAATAAGCTAAAAAGATTTGCAGAGATAAAATGATAGGTTTTCCTGTTAAGTGGCATAAAAACTAAATTAAGTCAAAAACAACAAAATACGAAAAGACCATTACTTTTTTTTTATAGGCACTGCACATAAAAAATAGCACTGAATCAACTTTCACCATTTTTCTGGTAGGTCAGAAGGCCTTAGGTCTGTTGAATTTCAGCATTTAAACATCACAAGCTAAATTGAGTCACAGACAAACTGATTTTAATATAGATTCAGCATATTGTGCAAGTATGTAGCCATGCGTCAGTGATGCATTTCTTTTCCCAGCAGGCTTTTTTTCTCTCTCTCTCAGGTAGGGCTCCTGGACGGTCCTCCAGACGGCCCCTCACACTCCTGTGTGCAGTCATGTGTGAGATGAGCAGATCTCAGAGGGCCAGACTCTCCAGCCTAACATATAAGGGCTGTCAGAACCACAATCCTAATTAGTTATTTTCTGCTTCTGTGAGCTATACAGTTTAAACTTGTCAAAGAGGCTTGCTTGGGCTTCACACCTCTCTCTCCACTTTTGTTTAGCTTGTGGGTACGTGGAGGAAGCGCATAAAGACATAAATAATCATCACTGTTGCATTTAACACAACAACAGCGCCTGAGAAATAAAACAAATGAACATAAGGGGGTGTGAGAAAACTCTTCAGTCTCTGACAAGTTCTCTGCATGGGCAAAAGAACATGGCAGGAGGGGTGACGGGTGAAAAAATAATGTCTAGTCTAGTCAAACAAAATCTTAAACTGTAGCTTAGTAAAGAAGACTCAAGAAACGTGGGACTGTGATACTAGTGTATTGTTAAAAATGTAGCAAAATGTTCAGAAAAATAAAGAAAACTACATTACATTTAACCTTTTTTGTAAAAAGTACCATAAGCATGACCAAACCTACAGTAGAAACAATCGGTAGGGATTTCTTCCATCACAAATTCTCTTTCATTACTGGAGCAAACAAATACAATTAAGGTGCTCATTACAAATACTCGTTCAGGCTTTATTTTAAGGTCCAATTCTCGCTATTATCAAACCATTAACTACAACTGTTGCCTCAAACTCCTAATTTGCTGCTTATTAATAGCTAGTAATATAGTTGTTACATTTAGGTTTTGGGTAGGATTAGGGATGTAGAATATGGTCATGCAGAATGTGTGCTTTATAAGTACTAATATGTTACTAAAAGGCCCTCTCACCCCAAACCATTGCACACTATTGGTTAAGCAAAAAGTTGACATGCCAGGCCACTAAAACAAACAGAACAGACATACTTAAAAGGTTAAAGTCAAATGAGTAGGATGTCTGAAAGCTCAGCACTCTAAACCAGCAAACACGGATTGTTTTCTTAACATTAGTGTGTGTTTATGATTTGATTATTTTTTTGTTAATATTCTTGCAATGTTTCTTATAACCATAAACTATTATTCCCAGAACATTTTTGGGGAGTTTTTATTACAACCTATAATAAAACTTTAAAAGAATGTTAAATAAAAGTTGTTTTTAGGTTTTTGTTTTCTATAATCGTGAAGTAACCCTTAAACGAACATTACAGAGAGGCTAAAAAGAGTGAATGAGTCCTTTCTTGGTTTACCAGAATAGAATGTTAGGACATTTATTTTGAGAATGTTCTGG